AGCCTTCTCTACTCTGAACAGAGCGATGCTCATTCAGGGACAGGAGGCCGGGCTGCAGAGGGCACAGCTGCGCAGCCTTCATGGACGCTCTCACCCTGCCCACGCGTCACGTCCATCACAGAAACCCAAGGGCCGGCTTCAAAGGTGCTTCTCGGACATGGACGTGCGGAGGGACCTCTGGGGCTTATCAGCATGTAGCCTGGGCCCCATCCCCACATCCTGCATTCCCAGCAAGTTCTCAGATGGGGCTGCAGGCCAGCAGACCACACTTGGAGCTGCACTGGTTTAAAATACTGTGGACGAAAAGGGGCCACAGACTCACCCTGAAGAGCTCAGGGGAGGCCTGCGGGGTGGCCTTACAAACGCAGAGACCTACAGTCACCACACAGGATGTTCTGAAATGAAAACTTTTTAAACTAAAAGCAGTTTATGGCAGGTAGTCAGGTTCTAGGCTCGAACCTTCCCTGAAAAAAGTCCATCTTTACCTTAAACGAGCCTGTCTACAGTCTTTTTGTGTCGACGGTAACAGACCTTTGGAATGTCAAAGTCAGCTCCTTCCTCCAGACCCCTCAAGCACAGGAGCCGAGCCAGAGCAGAGACTACAAATCTCCTTGTTCCGACTGTAACGGTGTTAGTCGCTGACTGTTAACTGTCCTGTACCCACCTCGGTAAAATGTTTTACTTTCTATCCAATCCCAGAGATCCCCTAACCCTGCTTTGCTCTCTCCCACCGCCCTAACCTATCACCAGGGGTCTTCATGTATCCACTTATGCCTCCTCTTTTGATCGTAATGCATCAAATAGGGTGCAAACTGCCATTTTTCGATCCGTTGAGATTTTGCTTCCCAGCAGTAGTCATCATTTTGGCTCACATAACTCAACAACTCTACAGCAGTGGTTCTCAACTGTGGCCCCACCCGGTAACAAATAGAATTTCCAGAGGATGAGGCCCAGAAATCAGGATTTTAAAAAGATTCCCAGGTGATTCTAATGTGCAGCCAAGGCTGAGAACCACTGATCTACAGGTTTCAATGTTTCTTACGTTGACAATACCACAGGTTAGGAGCTGAAGAGCTGCTCAACTTGGGATGAGGGAACTCATTTAAAAGTTATGTGATGCAGGTGGTTCGGGATACTACATTTTGTTAAAAAGATTCTCCACAGTTTGGCGTCTATGAAGTTGGATCACATAAAGTGATAAAATACAGGTCTTTCTTCAAGCTCAATATATATATATTCACCAACGTGGCTTCAGCTTCTAAACACATCCACGCCCGTTTCTTACTTGTTTGTCTGAAGAAAACCCGCGGCACTGGGATGTGGACAGAATAAGGAGACAGAGCCCTGATTCAGGCGCCCAAATGCTGGAAAGTTTGGTTCACACTACACTCTCTAAATCTCATCCCCGCGCACATCTGACCAAACAAACCAGAGTGGTTACAAGTCTTCTATGCGGGGTCTAATCCTCCCTCACATGTAAGATGGGGGAGTATAACCTGTTTGTAGAGAGCAACGTGCAAGGTTTGGCCCGAAACCCCAGGAATGACTGCTCCACCCGAGACTTGGGAGCCTTTTCAGTCACAACACACATCTAACGCCCATGGAGCCCGCAATACTCGCCATGCACCTCATTAAAAGCTTTGCATATTTTATCTCTTTTTTTTCTAATATATTTTTATTGATTTCAGAGAGCAAGGGAGAGGGAGAGAGAGAGAAACATCCATGATGAGAAAGAATCATGGATCGGCCGCCTCCTGTATGCCCCCGCACTGGGGATCGGGCCTGCAACCGGGGCACTTGCCCCTGACCGGAATGGAACAGAACCCTTCAGTCCGCCGCTCTATCCACTGGACCACACCGGCCAGGGCAGCACATTTCATCTCATCATCCCTTCCGCAGGATCCGGTGCCGTGGTCACTATTCCTGCTCTGCACCCGAGAGCACGGACGCTCGGATACGCTGAGACGCTCCCCTGGGTCACACAGGCAGGCACCTGCAGCGGGGGACTCGGAACCGCATGCAAAGCCGGTGTGAACGGTGTCCACACTCCCCTGCCTCCAGCGGCCTGGGCGCCGGCTCCCCTCGGGGCACAGCTCTCCGCCATCGCCGG